GCTGGTGTTGGCAGTTGCAACTGCTTGCGCGAGTGCACTTCTTGCATCCTGGCATGTCTCGGGCCTGATGCACGTGCCACATAAATGACGGGACGTTGTGCAGTCGTCAAAGAGGAAGATTGAAAGTAAGGTTGATACATGCCGACGGCGCTTCTTGGACGCATCCTGGACGAGCCGTGTTCGGAAGAGCTGGAAAGAACTAGTGGCCGACGGAAAGATGTGAACACATCTCCGTGTAGCGGGCATGGTTGATATGGCACACCGGTTGGCAGAGGCAAGCCTCTGAGGTGGGATGCATTGCATGGGCCTCCGGCTGTGCTGTAGGCCCTAATCTGGCTTGTCCTGTGGGAGTGTGGAAGAGTCCGAGACATTAATCCACCGCAGTATCCCATAGTATCATAATTGTATGGTCCACCGGTTACATGGTCTGTGGCCCGTTCTTCTCTGCTTGCTCCAGAACGTAGACCACCAGCGGCCAAAGCACTGACCGATAAGGAGCGTCTGTATTCCTTATGGCGAGATCGGACGAGAGAAGAATGTGCAGAAGGCGAAGCTGACGATGAAACGGAACTCGTGCTGAGCTGATGATCGGCGGGACGAGTTGGTGCAATTATGGAGTTTGCGACAGTCGTCAAGACACCGTGAACTGGACAAGCCGCGTTACGGTCTGACTTTTTGACTCGATGCACAGAGCCAGATTCTGAGGCAGATCCTGTAGAACCTGCTAAACTTGTGGAGGCTGCAGCCGGTACGCAGGCACTGGCGGTCAGGCCGTTGGCAGGCACTGACAGACCGACGATGGGACGGTGCTCGGCACTTGCTGTACCATGAATGGGACAGCTGCTTTTGTCAGGCGAAGAATGAGTTGCAGATATGATGAGCTTTTTATCGGTTGGCTGGGGCGAACTCGATTCAATAAAACTAGCCACACTCGGCTGGCCGACAAGATGGGCATTCTTTCCCATAGTCAGTAGATGCGGCTGTTGCGGTGACAATTGATGTACCAGGGGCCGTGATATTCGACCATCATTGGTGGTCAACTTGGTCACGGGAAGCGAGTTGACAACAGAAAGCTGACAGGCAGCAACCTCTTTGCCCTGAGCTGTGGTCAGCATTAACTGATGACAACGTTTCTCCAGTGCTTCTTCGTCCGAAACTGTGAGAACAGGCGGAAATGCAGTACTTGCCGGCAAACCGGTTGCCAGGAGGACAGTTGGCTCTGGACGATCGCAGGAGACGAGAAGTCTATTTCCGCCGAGACGAGCAGCTTCGTGAATTAGGGAACCGCCTAAACCGACTAAGGGGTGAGTTGTGGAGGTGCAGAAATTCATTGCGGCGATTCCAGGACCTTCGGCCGTAATGCGGCTCCTGCCAACGCCTCCATCACTTGTACACACAGAAGGATAGTCGGGAGGCAATGTGTTGACGTGCGCTCCGGATGCGAGGTGATAGACAGCCTCGGGTTTCTCGATTCTAGTCGACTGGGAGAGCGGAAGCAGAAATTGATCAAATCCCAACGCTGGGGAAGCTTGACACGACGACTCATAGCCTTCGGTTGAAGTGAGTTGGCTTAGGCATCCGGAAACAGGATCAGTGTGATTAGTCAAACCGGAAGTGGGGGAGAAGAGAAGACCGCGTTGATTTGCGCCAAGAGACGAGGTGGTTCGAACGAGGGCATTGCTTTCTTTCTCGGATCCAACGGGTACAGGAAAGAATCGCGCTACAGTCGTCGGGTGTTGTCGCAGCCGACCAGCTTGGCTTTGAGGCAGATTGGCACTCATCGTCGAGTTCGCGGCAGCACCGTCCAGGCTTGATGCAACACTGAAATTTTCTCCAACACGAACTAGATTGTTGGCGGCGGAAGAGTCGACTAGCAAGCTTGATGCCTGCTCTTCATCAGCCTCCGTCCGTGTGGCTCTTTGCTCAACTTTCCCCAAGTCGTCGGCAAATGTGGTCCTCTTTTGTTTCTTTTGTTGCTTCTGCTGTTGATGCTTTTCTCCCGGATCCACTGGCGTCTTCAGTGCCGTTTTGGTTCTGGCCAAGCCCCAACCACTGCCGTTGGTCCGTTGAACTCGACGTCTGGCAAACCAGCGTGTTCGCTGTGTAGGATTGCATAGTAACGGCATCAAGCCTTGCTCAAGACCCTCCAGGCAGGTTTCGCTCAATTCCGACGAGGCTGGAATCCCGCAATCGGAACTATCCAAACCATTCTTTTCTCCTGAAGACGAGCATTGCAACAGCGACTGATTGCCCGTCCCCCCGGCTACCGAACCAGCCATAGAATTTCTGCACTCCTCATGCGTCCTGAAGGCAGACAATCCGCTTCCTCGGCTATTGCAGCAGCAGAAGATTATCAGACAAACACTTGCCAGCAGAATTATGAGGCTGGAAGCCCCAACTCCGGCGTAGATGAGACTTTGTCGACTGCTGGAAGTGAGTCCACTTCCACTGCTACCGCTTCCAGGACCGGAAATGGCCAAAGCGCCCCCACCCGGCCCAGTTGTGTGCACAAATAGACTGTACACCGCGCGAGCTGAGTTGGCGCCAATACCCGAGTTGATTCGACACTCCCAGTTACCGGTATCCCGGGCCTGCAAGTCGGTGATCTGTAGCACAGTAGAAAAGTTCCTATTGGCCCTGTTCACTTGGGTCACGACGCGTTCCCAATGCGCCTTGACGACAAGACCGTCCTTCAACCAAACAACCGTTTCCGCCGGATCGGCAAAAAAGTCACAACGCAAAGTTACATTGCTGCCAAGTCCGGCCTTGACTACCGTGTCTCGTGAAAATACACGTGGAGGACAGTAGAAGTCGGAAAGCCGAATCTCGTCAGCCCCCGGCCTTGGGAAGATACTCTTTCCGCGCAATTCAGCCGGCGTCTGACAAACTGGTTCAAACTCAGCAGCAATATCAGAACTGGCCGAATCTGGATGATACATCACGGATGTGCGGTTGTAAATCATGTTCCAGACTTTCAGCCAACGCAGGTGGCAGTCACAATGCCATGGGTTTTTGCCAAGCAGCAGTAGCTTCAGGTCCGGCATGCCAGAGAGGCATCTGCCCAATGATTCGTGCAAAGTCTGCATTCTTGCTGCAGTCAGGTCAATCTCTTCGAGACGCGACAATGGCGCCAAACTATTCGGCTCTAGGTGGAATGCTTCAAAGCTTTTGACGTGTCCAAGCTTAAGGCGTCGCAACCGTCCTCCGGCGAGTCCTTCGAAGAAGTCGTCTGGAAGTCGACCGAGTGGATTCAATGTCAAGTCGAGCTCTTCCAAATGAAGCAATCCTTTGATCGCCCCGCCCGAAAGACCATTAGGCCCCAGATGGATGGAGTTGTTTCGCAAAATGAGACGCTTCAACCGTGGCATGCCGGAAAAAGTACCTGGTTCTATTGACTCCAACTGGCTCGACTCAATAACCAACGATTCCAGTTGACTGAGGCTGCGGAGACTTTCCCGATTCAGATGACGCACGACTTGCCGCAGAATTTGCAGATCTACCAAATTGTTGGGCAGATCGTCGGGGATAGTCGTCAAGGTTGCGGGAGTTGAATCACATATTGCCTTTTTCCAGCGCATTTCAGGGTCTAGCAGTATGCTGCAGCCCTTGACGGCCTCGCAGCGCGGCATCAATTGGAGACCGTAAAGCAGGTAGACCAAATATAAGAAGGCCACGAATCTGATGTGAGAACATGGGCATAATAGATCATCCCCTGCCACAGGCCTCAGCATGTCTTTTGGCATTTTGACATTTTGTCGCAAAACAGCGGACCAGGAAAGTTTGAGGAAGGCAGATGAAAATGTATGTGGTATGTTATTGCGGCTGCTCTTCGGACTTTCGAAAAGATTGCTTTGGCTTTTCGAATTTTCGATCTTCTCTGAATTGGTATATATCTCCATGTCCGGCCGGATGGGGAGATAATCTGACTTGCCATTTCCAAACACCGAGCAGGCCGAATGCAGGTGTGGAAATGGTGATAGAGGTCAAATTGCAGGAATCATTATCAATGATCACTAAGAGTCAAGCAATAACAGCATGAATGTTAGGAAAGGCGTATTCCTATACGCGAAACTATTTTACATGCAAATTTTCAGCAAAAAACAACTCAAAATATAATATATTTCTTCAACAGATACGAAGTATTCCCTGA